TGGAACGCGCATCCTTCGATGCACTGAGGAGGGAAAAGCTTCTGCAATGACGATTATGTGGTCTAGTCTTCATTATAGTCTTCATCATTATCTTCATTTTGTTAAAGCGCTTACCCTCAAAGCCGCTAGCGCTGCTCGCTCAAAATCAATTAAAATGCGCAGCTGCTGAAGATCGACGCCGAGGGCCAGTAGTTGTTGTTTAACAATGCTGAAGACCTTCTCGTACACGGAAAGGTTTTTCTTCTTTGTGAGCACGTGTACGAGCGGGACGTCTGCATAAATGTAAATGTAATTGGCTGATATACGACTATAGCAAGTGGATCACCTACCTACACCTCCGTTGCAAACTCCATGGATCGTGTAGAGCTGCCCATCCTTGCCCAGCTCTTCGGGGGGAAGTCTATGTATCCCGTCAGCCACAATTGCAGTCATCCCGTTGTCCACAGCTTTCTATAAAATAAGGTGAATGAAAATGATATGCAAATGTGGTGAATGGCATGACAACCTGAAGTGTTCTCCTTGAGAAATAGATGTACAATCCTGGTTGGCTGAATTGGAGAAAGAGTGAGCCATCCGTTAAAGTTCTTAGGTCCTCTGGGACACTGTCGAGAGTAGCCCTCGGGCGATCGTGCTTCTCCAGACTTCTAAAATAGACATTGTACGTCACAGTTTGTAGATGAACTTCGACATCACAGACTTTGCAATCGTCCTTCTTCGCGATCCGTAACCCGTCTGATGAAATTTGTCCATAATTTCTTCTACTTCTTCTTGGCCTGAAGTTTTGCACTTAGGCTGAATGTGGGGTTGAGTTGGTTATAGGCTTGCTGAAATGTTCCAGCAAAGGTATTGCATCTAGCATATCCTGCCATAATTTTCTAGCCACTGCATCCGCAAAGTTCACGTCGCTTCTTATACTTTGAAGCTTCTGGTAGAGGTAACGCTCTACGTAGTTGGTCTTAATCTCCTTCGGAATGCAGTGGTGAGGCAGCATGCAAGGATCTGTTTGAAATTCGTCATCGATAACCTTAATGTAGATGGACATGAACCATGATGATAAGATATCTTAAAACGATTAAAACCTTACATCCACTTGCGTATGACAACCATCTTTACAGCAGTACACACACCTGTACACCTTGCACGACTTCTTTGTTTTATGGTAGGCGAACGCATAGCACCTACTGCCACCTGGAATACGATAAATCAAAACCGGGTGTTTTCCATACTTACTTACCTGTATCTCTCCTCGGAAAGTAACAGAACCTGAAACTGGATTAGATGAAACATTAAGCGATATTTGATTAGGGGGGATAACTGGACGAGGCGCAGTACTAGTAGGTTCTTGAGAGGGAAATTCGGCTGGTATAGGTGATGCAAACGTGAAATTGGATGGTGGTGTTTCAAGCTGAGGTGTATGTGCAAGCCTGCGCGGTGTTGGTGGTTGCGATAGCACAAAAAGCCTTTGCGGAAATGAATTTGGAACATAATA